TACAGCTAGCTAAGAGAAAAGAAGGTAATTTTTAGAGAGCACTGATAGAAAGATCTTAGAGAGTTTATTTAATAAAATTTGCTCTAGCAGCCCATCATGTGAATTAGGAATTCTGAAATAATGCCTGTATTTCTCAAGTCCAGGTTAAGGAGTCTCTCTGGGATTGTCCCCAGGAGAAATGCTGAACTGAGTCTGTCCAGCAGAGGGGCTGTGGATCCCACCATTCTGTTCAGGGACTGCCCCAGGCTTGGTACCTTCACTGGAAGAGCTCATTTGCACAGGTCAGGGATACCAAGTTCATCCTCCCACCGTTCCTTACTGACGGCATCAAAGCTGAATTCCTTCTGGTTTACGATTACAACCCCTCATCCTCACCAGACTTTATAAAAGGACAATGGACAAACTGCCTTAGGTCAGCTTTGCAGGCACTGGGACACACTGCCCAGCACCCACAACGTACAAGAGGAGAGAGTCCGGCTCTCGGCTCACAGGCTTCCGTCCATGACTGGCTGGCTTCAAGGTATAAACACCATGGTGGAGGAAAGCTCACAGCCGAGCAGCCAGGGAGCAGAGAGACAAGGGCGGTATGGGGAGGGCGATCTGTTCTAAAGGCTTAGGGCAGTGACCCCTCTTCCTCTAGGCCCCACCTCCTAGTGGCAATTTAGCCATGAGCTCATCAATGGGCCAATCTATTGATGAGCATAGCACCCCAGAAAACCTCCCCGAAACCCCTCCTCTGAACACAAGAGACTTTCTAGACCTACACCACTGCCCTCTGCCATGTCCCTCCCCTTGTCGATGGGATGGATCATCAGATTCAGAGTCATTTTCACCCTTACTGTCCACTTCCTTTGATCCCCAGGTTCTACCTAGATCTTTCTATTTACTTTCTCCAGGATCCAGGGCTGGAGATATGGTCTGAGGGTCCCACGATTAAAATAGGGGTCCATAGACCTTGTGGTCTAAACATTTTAAAATTATATAAATTCAGTCTTACAAACTATTGAATAAGTTCAATTCCTTTTTGCCTTGAAAAATAATGCCTCCATAATAACACTACAGGAATATAGGTAAAGCTATGGTTTATGTGAGACTATAAGTTGGTACAATGTCAAAGACACAACGTCAAAGACAACTAAATTTAATTATAATCGCACATGTCTGGGTGTTGTTCTGTTGATTGATACATACATATTTGACAATTATATACGTGTTTAATAAAATTTCTTGCCTTTTTGGCAAAATTGGTTATGTTATTACAATCAAGATTCTCACATAATTTATATTTTATTAACAGTAACTATCTAAAAGATTAAAAAATAATGTCACTGCAGAAAAAACACTTAAGGCTAAAGATCCTTCTAGAAAACACAGCAAAACTCCCTGACAAACAAAAATGCACAGTATATTTTTCAAAAGGATTCTTTTCCTCTAAGGTATTTAAATATAATCAAGTTAAAAGTTAAAATGCAAATAATATTATACATCAACCTCCTGGGTACTTGTGACTACAGGTTCAAGACTCCGTGCATGCTGAACAATTAGTTAGTTTTTAATCAGTTGGGATCAAGCCCTGAATTGGACCTGCAGTGCAAGGACTTCCACTAAGAAAGCCGCGTCACCTCACACTTATGTCCTCACTAGCAGCCTCTGCTTAGCCAAGTTCCCCTGAAGCCCCCAACCACAGTCCTCTCTCTTGAGTGGCTTTTGCTCAGCCACTGCCCTGCCAGCTCGTTCGTGTAGTTCCTGCAGGAACACAGGAGGGTCCTTGACCAGTAGGGTTTCCTAGTGGGGTTCTTGTTTGCCTTTGACAGCTTTCGTTGGATGAAAATAGGATAATTTTATTTTTCACAGTTCTTTTGAAAGATTTTTTTTTTTTTTTTTTTGGTACCGGGGACCGAACTTGGGAACTTGAGCTTGCAAGGTAGGCAGCAGAACCACTGAGCTAGATCCCTGGCTTGAAAGAATATTTTTAAAACACAGGTCTTTAAAAATTTATAAGTCAGTGAAGTGAAACGTGAAACTGTCTTTATCGTTTCTACTCTGCGTAGGACAGGCCCCAGAAATCCTTTGCTTTATTGCTTCAGAACTTGCTTCTGCATTCCAGTGTCTGCAGACAGTTTTGTTTTTTAAACACAGGAAAGTGATTATTCTGAATATTCTCTTCTGTGATTTGCTTTATTTGTATAACAACACATCGTGGGCATCTGTCTATGTCAGTTTTTCAGGATCCCTCATTCCTTAAACGTTGAATAAAAAATAATAATAAAAGTTCAACAGAGCTAATAATTAAATTAATGCAAAGTAAACAAAGAGGAATGTAATGAATATTAGATGTGCAGTCGCTCAACTGTAAATAAAGATAACAAAAGTATTGCGGCGGTTAATCCTGTTCGTCAACCTGACTAGATCTTGGTAAAGCACGCTGCTAACTGCGCGCCTGCGAGCAGTTCCGAGGAAGACTGGCGTGTGGTTTCCCACGCTGAAGACCTCCTGAACATGGGAACAGAAACTTCAGCAAGCTAAGCGGGGCGTGGTGTCGCCCGCCTGTAATCCCTGCACTGGAGAGGCTGAGGCAGGAGGGTCACTGTGAATTGAGGCCAGCCTGGGCTACACAGTGAGACCCTGCCACGGACAGACACACACGAACGACCCTCTCCCGGTTGGAGGAAGGACAAAACTCCAGCACGAGCTCATTCGCTTTTCTTGAACTCCATTTCTTCCCCTGCAGCATTTGCCTGAGCATCACACCCTGGGTCGCCCAGGTCTGGAACATGAACTTGTACAAGCGTGGGCGCTTCTGGGCTGACTGGTTCCAGGGCTGCATCATGGGGCCTGGGTTTCTGGGCTCTGCCTTTTTGCACTGCACATCTCCTAGGCTTGGCTCTCCTACCTTTGGCCACCACTGCGGGCTGTCTCGCCTCTGACGCCAAGCCACAGATCCACTCACACAGTTGTGTGTCCACTTGGGTGCTGGCCCTCTGGAGAACCTGGACTTCCGGTTCTAGAATGGACTGCAGAGGTCACGGAGGGGACTCCAAAGGTTAAGACGCTTGAGGTGCTTAGAACTGCGCATAACATATAGTGGGAACCAATAAATGTTACCTATAAGAAAATCTAAAATCATATTTGTACAAATTATTAACTTGCTTAACCACTTACTTGCCGATAGACATTTATGTTTTCTCTCATTTTTCATTTTTTCTAAGTAAGGCTACAATGAACATCCTTACATAGATGGTTATTTTTTGTTCATTAGATGGTAATATTAATTCATCCTTTTGTAATTTTTAAAAAGAGCATCTCTTATTATAAAGTTGATGCATACTCATTATAGAGATTTTGGAAAATATAAAAATACCACCAAAAAATTGAACCCTGTCATAGCTTCACCATTCAGAGGTAAAATCATTGCTAATAATTCAATGTATTTCAAAGGGTCATTTTACCGAGTAAATTTTTCCCTACCGTATTACAGAGAACTTTTCTATGACATTAAATATTTTACCATCAGTTACTTCACTCAGAAACGGCACCAGTTACTTTCATTTTCTGGTGGTTGGATGTTTTTATCCCTAATTTTTCATCACATCCGTGTGTCCATATTTTGAACGTGTCCACCTTCTGACTATGTCTCTTGGCCAAATTACCATTTTACTTAAAACAGGAAGGATATAAACTTTTGAGCCCAGCCTGGGACAGCTTAGCTACCTAAGGGGACCTCATCTTAAAACGAAAACTAAAAAAAACTAAAGAGCCGAGGGTGTAGTTCAGTGTGAAGGCCCTGGTGCAGTCCATGGACCGTGAGACGGACGGGCGTGAGGAGAGGAGAGAGGACCAGTGCATAACCATCAAAGGATGGAGGACGCGGAGCACGGCCTCGCTGCCAGGTGCGCTGGGAGGTTCAGTCAAGAATTCACACTTAAGCAAGTCAAGTACAAAATGCCCGATTTCTTTAGCCACAGGCGGAGAGTTTGTGTCCGTTTCTTTTCTTTTCTTTTGCATTCATCCACATGCAAGCAAGTGATAACATATACTAAGTTAAATAATGCACAGTACTCCCACTAGTCCTACTTTCTATCCCTTGGTTATTATAATTACATGTAATTTTGTGATGGATTTTCCATTTTTAAAGAAATTGCACTTTTGTGCTCGATCCAGCTAACAGGATTTTCTTACATTACTTCATAAAGAGACCATCTTTTAAACTTCTAATGTTATTTCTTATTCATTAGTACATTTGCCTGTGGGGTATGTTCATAAATGGGTTAAAGTTACAAAGTTATGCTTATAAAAGCTCATGGTAATTTGGAGTATCAGGAGGATTTATTAATTTTGAAATCTTAAAAGAGCAAAAGCTAAAATGAGATTGGATTAAGTATATTCTTACATGCAGTTATTCTAAACACCCTTAAGGACCAAAGACTAACTTACAGAGGACATTATGCAAATGGGAATGTATCTCTAAGTGCCTCCTAGGCTTGCTGATGTAATATTTTACATGGTTAGTTAAGTACATCAAGTAAGAGGTTTGACCTTGATAGAGTATAAAGGTGCTCATTTCAAAACAACTCTGTTATTTTCCAGGCCACTGCAGAATCAAGAATCTCATCACGAGGGCCGGGGATTTAGCTCAGTGCTTCTGCCACCAGCTTCAAAAGCTCAAGGTCCCGAGTTCGATCCCCGGTACAAAAAAAAGGGGGGGGCGGATCTCATCACGGGCCTCAGTGTTTAGTTCCCCGGGAAACCAAACGTCTTCTTTCTAACAGCCACATCTCCTGTGTGTGTGCAACATGTGAGCACAACATGTGCTTGGATGTTCCATGGGGACCACACTACTACGTGAAGAAATCCTTGCCAGGATAACAGATCCCTGCAATTACTTGGGGAACTTTTTAAAAAATCTAAGTCCCCAGCTTTCACTGAAACTCATTTTATCAGATTTTTAAAGGGTGAGCCCATGAATCATGAGCTTTGCAAACGTCTTCTTCCCAGGAATCTTGTGATCTGCTTTAGGAACCAGAGACAGGCCTCATAAACTGCAGTTCAGTGGTCTGGTGTTATTCATGCGTCTGTACCTTTCCTTCTGACCACGTTACCATCTCAGCAGGATGAGGGCCCGGCATGTTTTTCTGGGCTTTGGAGTCTCTATGTTAATAAGAGCAGTAGTAGTCAATGGAGATATTGTGATTTTGATTCTGGAAACTCAGAATGGAGGGCCTGGTGCTCTTTGGTTCATCCTTCATTGATCAGTTTCTACTGTGGCACCTATTTTTAGGGTTGGTTCAAAGTAAAGGGCTCGAAATTTAGGGTGGGGGAGACAGGAGAATATTATAAAGCAACCTAGTCATTCACCAAATCCTGACCACTTGCTCAAATGAGGTTTTTCCCCCCAAAGAACTTAAGTAAAAATACTAATTGATCACTAATTACCAATCGACTGCAAAGCTGTGTACTCATTTCCTTTATTTCAAAATTAAATCAGCAAAAAAATTACCGAACGTTTACCCGGAGCCGAGTTCTGTGCTTGCCACGGGGCAGTGGCTTAGGAACTGTGCTGCAATGGGCGCGGAGGAGGCAGAACATCGATCTGAGAGGTGACTTGTGTTTGAAGAAATGGTTCTGAATGCAGGGGGCCCAGAGGAACGCAGATTCCTCATTGGGAGGCAGTTGCATTCTTTCACATCTTAATAGCAAATGTTGGTTTTCCCTTTTCATCATTCTAAGTATCACTGATGCCCCTGTGGACTGAAGTGGGACAATTGGCAGGTGGAGAAAGCTGATGGTGGTGGGAGTGAGACGTAATTTCTTCCACTATAATTCCCGAGCCGTGTAAACTCTCCGCAGTTAAATAAACACGTTTAAAGACAAAGATTTTACATTTTCATCCAAACACTGCTGGTAGCAACTGCTCACTTTCACTCTTTTGGAGCCTTCCCAAACAGCCAGGAGATTTGCATTTTCTCTAATAGTCTCCTCAGTCTGCTTCCTTCCAAAAGGGGAGAGAAAATGAAAATGCTGCATTTCCCTGAATGCTGAGTAAAATCACACAACTGTATTTCAGGTAGCCTGGTGGATAAATACACAGTTCCTATTATTAGCAAACTTCTCAAGCATTGAGTTCCACGCTCTCGCAGGAAACCTGACCTCACAGGAAGAGACCCTAACTTGCTTCTTTACAATAGCAGGTGGATCACTGAGTAGCTCCTTAAACTGGGATCAGTGGGCAGCGGAAGTTCAGAGGAAACTCATGCACACAGAATGTGGACTTGTATTTCCATAAAGAGCTATAGGTTTCTAGAGCTCACACTCACATGAGTGGAAATAGGTTTTTGTTGAATAGAACGACACAAATACTTAAATTCTCCTTGGGAAATGTCGATCACATTCTGAAAACAAAGGCCCAAGTGAGCAAAATGTAAAGGAGAGGAATGGAATACTGAAAAGCAATGTGGATAGTTGTACTGTCCACCAGATCTGTTAGCAGGTCTACCGGACACATACCGGAAATATAGGGATATCTTTGTCCACAACCCTTAGCCGAGTTGATCAAAAACGGTTAAGAAAAACTAAGGCAAAGCCATCTGGGGTGAAATCTTGAGCAGAACCCTGAAGCTGAAGAAACAAGGAGAGCCTAGCCAGCGAGGCAGCCCCTAAGTCACGGCTGCCCGAGTCAAGCTGTGATTCTGTATGGACTTGTGAGTGAGTGGCCGGATGTGCCCACAGCTCTGGAATTCGAAGGAAGCACAGGAGCACCTCTGAGAAGACCTCATTCAGAGTGGCCCCTGGCTTAGCTCCCACCCATTACCAAAGCTTTGTTCTTTGGCATACAGTTTTAGTTTTTACTGGTAGAGCAATAGTTACGTTATCAGACAAGGAAGCAATGAAATCTTTCACTGAGTCCTGTAGGATCCAGGATAAGCTTAAGGAGCATCCAATGATAGGTTCACTGTGTTAGGAAGGGAAATTAGCAGCTAAGAATTCAGCTTAGGAAAATCAGAGGAGCAGGGATCACGTGATGGGGGAAATTTATTCAAGATCAGTATGACAGTCAGCGTCAGATGCTACATGCTGTGTCCCTCAGAGAGAACTTGTACGGTGGGCAGGCACAGCTATGTGAAAGCAATCAGTGAGTAACTGCTCAAGTTCAAGAATGCCAGCTGTGGAATTTGTGGCTTTGATGAGACTGAAATCATGGCAGGTCCAGCAACTGATGCCCAGTCCAGCTCACTGGCATTAAAAAATATTTCAGCTCTCGCACTCTCACATGTAGAATGAATTGGGATTGGCCACGTATGGAGAGTCACGCTGAAGATCTTATACTTCAGACGAAGGAGAAAAAACTCTAGCTGTGAGAGCAACGTTATTGTGTTGGGGCTCAAACCCAGGGTGTTCAATATGCTAGGATTCTAAAAATGTTCGACTCTGTCTGTTAAGTCCCTGTACCCGGAGGAGCTCATGTCAATTTATCGTAGTATATTCAATTTGTACAATAAATCATGAATCTGAGAAAAAACAACCCTTATTCTTGTTTTTGCTTTGGTGGTACTGGGGATTCAAACCAGGGCTTTTGCACTGAGCCACTCCCTTGGATTGGCTTCCTCTTGAAAGAAAGAATGAAGGAACCATGCTGGTCTTTTGGGGGCTTCCTATCTGGTCTAAGCAATTTGGAGGCTCTCATGATTGTGAGGTGAACCTTTAAGACCTACCTCCAGAGACATCTCCTCCTCAAGGCCCACACAGCCTTGGGAAGAGCTGATTTCCTCCTGCAGAAGGCCTCCACCGGAACAGCATGCTGTCCCCATCGGAGCTCACCTCATGCATGGGTGAAGCGCCCTCCATGCCTGCCCCTTGGTTGGCACAGGGCTCCAGGAGATCTGGGCTGATGCCTCGTGGTGACATCTAGGACAGAGCAGGGACCCAGTGCTTATGTGCAGAACGAAAGCAATTATCTACATCTACACATTGTACTTTCATCCAGGAAGGGAGGGGCAGAGACTTTCAGGAGGGTCCTGGACCTCTTCGGCCTCTTTGCCATATTGATGGGAGATGGATAGGCTGAAGGGAAACCTTGATTGCAGACCATGAGAAACAAACAAAGCTGGGAAGATAGCAACCATGTTTCCAAAGAAAAAGCTACTGGAAGAGAAGCAAGGGACAGGGGCTTGACAGCCTCCCTTCAAAGCTCTTCTGGTTCTTCGATGGTTTGTGTTCTGGGGGAAGATTGGCATTGTGTTTATACAGGGTGAGAAGCACCATCTTCGAACTGTAACGAATCTAAAACGAAAACAAGCACGCAGTTGGCCAATGCTGCTTTAAAATTGCACATCAAGAACACTCCCGGTGACAAACACTTTTGAGGCAAACAAACCAAACAGAAATTAAAAATCTCGGTGGGGTATAAATATGTAATTATACTCACGCAGAGAGCATTTTATCAGGTAAACCATCCCACTTGGTTAATTGAAATGCTTCAGCACTGGGCTTTTTGGACAAAGCATCCGAATGTGCGTGTGTCGGCACAGACCCATGGTCTCCCTGCTCTTCCTCCCCGAGGCTGGCTGTGTCAAAGAAAATTTCCCTGCAACAGAGAAGTCGGGTCTAGATGCCTTTCTTTTGTGTGTTTGCTTGTTTCCACCAGGCTGACTTCCCCACAATGCCAACTGCTTTGGAATTCCAAATATCAGCTGGAAACACAGCCACTTTAAAAATTAGGACTGGTCTTTGACTTTCACGTGTCTCATTGGGAATCCATTCGTAAGCAGTGTTAAGGCAGCTGAAAGGAGAGATGTTGAGAATATACATTAAGATAGCGCAAAGGGCTTGCGTTCTACATCAGCCTCTGTCACCGTGCAGATGTGTAGTCTCAGGCCAGCCCGGCACGACTCATCTAAATGAAACTTGGTCTGTGATTGCTAAATCACCCTTTCTACTCCGACACATCCACAATTCATTACCAAGCAGGACTATATTTTCTTTTTCTTTTTTGTTTGTTTGTTTGTTTTTTGAGACAGGGTCTCCCTCTGTAGTCGAGACTGACCTGGAACTCACTATGTAGCCCAAGCTGGTCTTGAACTCACAGTGATCCTCCTGCCTCAGCCTCCCGAGTGCTGGGATTGCAGGTGTGCACCACCACACCCGGCAGGACTATATTTTCTTAAGAGCATTGGAGCAACAGGGTTATTAATCTGAGGAAGTCCTCGCAGTGTGCTGACAGCATCGCTCAAATGAGGTCCTGTCTCCCTCGTGTAGCATGCCAGGTACGCTGCCTCTGTTCACCTGCAGGCAAGGCCAGACTGTGCCATTGGGTCCAGGGTCACTGGACTGGCAGATTTGCCGAGCGACCTCAAGGAGCAGATTGCTGAGGTTTTCTGTGATGGGAGAAACACAGGGTAGGCTGGAGCTGTTGGAGCTGAGGTCCACATCCCCTCTCCTGGGCCTCATACTACAGGCACATCAAATCGCCATGGCTGTGACTTCCTTCTGAGGAACTGTTCCAAAGTGGCAGAGAGGAGCCACGGATTATCTGGGATTCAGCGACGGTGCCACATCTGTTCTTAGGCAGCCGCGGACACCACACAGATGAAAAGATTTGGCCCTGCCTTTCTGCGGCTCTCAGTGCAATACAGTAAGAAGGCACAAGGACCCGGGGCGTGGAAATCAAGGTGAGATGTATTTGTAAAGGCTCACAATCCGCTTTCTGCTCAACTCCCAGATATCCCTTCTGAAGCACGCGGTAGAGATTGTGCTACTTTCTCTGAGCGTGGTGAAGTGAAGGCAACTAGAGAGTGTCTTTTCTTCTCTCAAGGTGACTTGGTGAGATCCCATCAGAAGTGGGTGCCCCAGGGAGCAGACTCTGAAATGGAGAGGAGAGTGTAGGACGTCTGCACTGGGCAGAGGGAGGCCCTGGGCTGTGGTACTGTCTCAGTCCCGGTCACAGCGGACCTTCAGGAGCTCTGGAGGGAGGTGGTACTTAGAGCTGCCCCAGAAGGGGTGAGACTGAACTGCACATGGCACAGTCCCTGGGTGTGATGGTCCCCCTGTGTGAAGGCGCTCTAGGCAGCTAGGGTGTCCCCCCATCAGAGAGGCAGACAGCCAAGTGACCTAAAAATAGATATTTATTTTCTAACATTTGTGGAGACTAGACGTCAATAGTCAAAGTGCCAGAAAAAATCTACTGTCTTCTCTCCTGGCTTGCAGATTGCTACCTCTTTGCTCAGTTTTCCTTTGTGTATGTGAAGAAAGAGAAAGTGCCAGTGCCTTCTTCCCTTCTAAGGATGCAAATCCTATTGGTTAGGTCTCCACCCTTATATCTTCATTTCACTCCAGTTACTCTCCTTCAGACATCATCTCCAAATCAGTTACACTGGGTGTTAGGGCTTTGCCATATGAATTTGGAGGTGGAAGCAATTCAGCTCGTAACACACAGCATTGGCCATCAGTATGACATTTCTGCAAAACACTGAAGCGTGTTTGAGGCATTGGTACATGATATCAATAAAGGGATGATGTCCCAAGCTCCCTAATTGGTCCATTTGGTTATGGGTGCTTATCATAAGGAAAAGTAAACACTTGTTGGGCATATGTACATGTGAGTAGGGAAGGAAAGGTTTGAACCCAAAGGAGACTGATGGGAGGCCTGGGGATTTAGCTCAGTAGTTCCGACGCTTGCCTCGTAATTTCCTGAGTTCGATCCCCGGTCCAAAAAAAAAAAAAGAGACAGAATGATGGAAATAAGGGAGTCTTGAAAGAAAACAATCAGGAAAATGTAAAGATACTGTGTTATGGATGGTTATCCTGGGAAAATGAGTTTTTAATAGGCTCATGCACTCTGAACCCAGAAGATAGTGCCTATGATTTGATGGAAATTATAGGAAAAAAGTTATGTAGAATGAATGTTATATATTGTTTATATGTAAATTTTCAAAAACTTGCAACTCTCCTGAACAGATGGTTTATTTTAGATGGTGGAGGTGCTTGAAAGCTAGAAACTCTTTGGAGAGACAGTAAAGTGGAACTAAGCACAGAATTGACTAGAACAGAGAATGGCTTTAAATGTTCTCCATTCTTCTAAATTTTGTGTTATCATAAAACACATCGATTCTATTTGTTATCATAAAAGGTATTCAACAAGAGTAAGTTTTGGTTCACAAAATTCTGCATTTTTTTATTCTTTGGTGAATATAGTAGTTCCTGCCATTTATGGGATGCATAATTGTTGCTAAGGGCTTCTAAATATTTTCTTAAGTGAAAATGTAGTAAATTTAGTAGAACTGTTTTGAAAATAAATCATTAGAATTAAACAGCATCCTACAAGCGCCATTTGTACAAATGACAGCTAGAAATTGCCACCGAAGAATGCCTGTGTTATTATAGTTGGAGTCTCTTATCTGGGGAACATCTGAGAATCAGGTGACAGGGCCATTGCCCTAATGAAATGCTTATCTTTCTCTTCTCATCATGTAGAAGAGCTTTTAGAAATGTCTGATATTGGACTCCTCCATCACTAGTAATTAATTGAATGGGTCTCAGGTCTCCTGAGCATTATTAAATGAAAAGAAAAACCTGGATTAATTTTGCTTCCATATACTAAGTATATTTGAAAGCAAAGAAAACAATTTTCAACATAGTCATAGATAGACCCAGGTTGAAACGCATGGAAGAATGTTACTCCTTCCTCCAAATACAATAAATGTTGTAAATATAAAAGCCACAAAAGGAGGTGTTCAGATTTTTATTTTCTTGGAAAACCTGGTTTTATTCTTGAATCATTGTCCTTGAGATAATATCCTTCACAAATTTGTGAGGTGTGATGATATGTGATTTGTGATAATAACTGATTTGTCATTATCCACAAATCTTTCCATAAGCTTACATGCGATATTGGAAGTTTAAAGGTTTTTGGGCCTGACAGCCGATGGATAAAATCTTTTGCGAAGTAAAAAAACGTTAATGTCTGTTTTGACGACGCTACCCACCCAAATGTTTCTAGTAAACAAGCTCAGTGATAATGATATAATGGACAATGTGAAATAGGAAGAAAGGGGCTAAAGGCGTAGGGAAACTGGGAAGGGTGGGGGAAAGGTAATAAGAGAAAAGAAAAGAATATGAGAAAATGAAAAAATGGAGATGAAGTGTTTGTGAAGGGGGAGGGGAGGAGGGGGTGAAGGAGGCAGGGACAAGGGGAAAAGATGAGAACCAAGACCTGTCATGTAGAGGTACAGGATCCCAGTAATGAATGTAACTGTACTGTATCCCTAAAATGTACCAATAAACTCCACAAGGAAAAAGAAAAAAACAAGCTCAGTGAGCAAAAATGAAAATCTTCCAAGAACTCCTGGCTTGGGAAACTTTTGCCAAAGCTGTTCTTATCCTTAGGACCAGTATAAATGCTGACTTTAGTAAGAAAGATCACAGCAAGCTTTTTCCAACTGGACAAGACTGGCAAAAAAAAAAAAAAAATCTCCATGGAAGTGGAAGATGGCTGGATCACTAAAAGACACTCAGATGGCAGGGGGGATGTGCTCAGAGGATCTCATGATCTGATTTGATCCTTCAGTGTGTCTGAACCTTGAGGCCAACATTTCCTCTGCTCCGACCTGCTTTATACATCTGAAACTTTCACCTCCTTCTCCCACCTGTATCTCAAGCCTCCTCTTCCTGCTCATCAGCCCATTTCCTTCTCTAAAAGAAAGCTTTAAGTGACAGTCTAGGAAAACACCCTGCATGAATTGCCCAGAATGGGTACTAATTATTTTGAGCAATTTTTTTCTTTTGTTGCTTTTTACCTGCTGGTGAGATTCACTTTCCATGCCAGCTGCCACAGGCGAGCTTTTGTTCAGAACCCGTGCGTGTGTTGACCCCCCGTGACACGAGGACTTTAGTGGAAGAAGACATTTGTACATCTAGTGTTGCAGCCACACTGCAAACCAAACATGATGGCAGGTTTTGACAGTTTTCTTTGAAGAAGTTAACCTTTGGCTGAACCTAGAGGGAAAATTTTACGCTCAACTGAGAAACTCAGTGCTGATCGGAATGGTCAGCATATCGTTGATGTGTGAACAATCTGAGTGATGCTGGAGGCTCTGCTTTCAGAAACTCTCAGGTTGGGTAAAACGTGCAAGATGATTACTAAGGAATCAGGAGGCCTGACACAGGAGACCATGCAGCCATGAGACCTGACGCAGGTGCACCTGCAATTTGCCAGGAGACTGGAGGCCTGATCTTCACGAGCAGTGTGATATTGCTCTCATCTGTTTTTCTTCTGGGGTGATGGACAAGTCTCTGAAGTAAGAAGCTGTGCTGTGACTTTTGAGGGGTCCTCTGTTTTGACTCTTGAGGTTCCCCTAGAACATTCCCTCCCTAACATTGTGAAAACCTGAGCTACTTTGACTTACAGGTTCTCAGGAGAACCTCTGAGATCATGTGCTCCTACTTCCTTCTTTTTAAGGAATCTTCTCTACAACATCTTCACTAAGTTACCCAAATTTCTTATGTTATAATTATTATCTGAAAGAGAAGTCACACCAAGGGTGTAAAGTAGTCCAAGTAATTACTGCCACTACCCCTCTTGTGCCCACG